ACATATATAATCTTATTTAATTCCTAGACCAAAGGAGCCCGACAGAAGCTCCAGCATCAACAAAGCAAGGCAGAAGGCAAGATTCACATCCAGACTTCTCTACAAAGGCCTGGTGTGGCTTTCCTTTCCCATAACTTAGTCATCAGGCAGCAGCCAGCCACTTCGCTCGTAAGCCACTGGCACGTGGAGGTTTCACTCCAGCCTGGGTCACCACGCTGATGCTACACTCACGTTTTCTTTATTTTCATCCTGGTCGATGAGCTGAAAGATGTCATGGTCTAGAGAATCAGAATGACTCCTCTTCAGCGCTGGGCTACATCCCAAGAGTTTCTGCTATCAAAGTCAAAAAGAGAAATTAAATTCTTAAAGAAAAACACAATTGAAAATTCAGTTTTCTTTTTTATTTTTTTGAGATAGGGTTTCACCCTGCAGCCCAGGCTGACCTTAAACTTGAGATGACCCTCCTGCCTCAGTCTCTCCAAGCGCTAGGGATTATAGGTTTGACCCATTACACCTAGCCAAAACCTCAATTTTCTTTTTCTTTCTTCCCATAAACTACAGCAGATAACCAGTAAATGTGACCAAGGCTCCACCCTGCTGTAACTTAGAACAGCCTTACACTGAATCATACAAGGCCTAATAGTCCTCTTGGCAGGTACATTATAGTGCCAAACCAACCCCTTAGTAACATTTGCGTAAAAAGAACCTTTCCTGGTTTGATAAAACTAAGACCGAGGACAAAGTCCACAAGAGGCAGCAGCCACTGTTGAAGCTGCTCCAGGTAATGCATAGTCTTAGTATTTACAGGAATGCAGAAAAGCCATGTCCACTTTGTAAATGTAGGTGACGCTGGCATTTAGAGGGACAGTTTACAGGCATTAGGTATTAGCTGAAAATGAACATGGAACTTACAGGTAAGGAATTGATTCTCCTCAGGGAAATTTCAAGGCTGTAATGAAATCAAAAGGTAAATGAGAATAAAGGGGTATTTATATCAGCAGATTCACATTGCTTAGCCTCTAGTTTGGGAAGGGATGGGCAAGTCAGGTTCTCACTGTAGCAAAGATATCCAAGAATGAAATTCTGAAGCTTTTTTGGTCTCAGGAGCATCCCAAACACTAGCTAGATTGAAAAAAACTTGTCTCTTAAAATACATACATCCATTAATTCATTTAAGGCTTTAACGCCAAAAGGCAGAGCAAGGGAAATTACAGCTAAAATAAAGGAGGGAAAATCCTGGAAACCACTGACACAAAACAATACATCCATTTTCAGCAGCGTTTCTGGGATCTCACTGGGAGCAGCTAACTGCAGACTCCAGTCCACTGTGTGAAGAACTT